AAATAAAAATAATCCAGAAGCTTCTAATAAAAATACTAATGATAATGGGCCCAAATAAGATTAAAAGAGCCTCCATAAAAGTCATGAACTGGAATGCACACAGCTTGCTTAATAAAATTATGGAGTTACATAATTTCTTGTTAACGTATGATATCGATGTTGCTATGGTTACAGAGACTTTTGCTACTCCGTGCTTTAGTCTGAAGATTGAAAATTACAGGTGCTACCGCTGTGATCGGCTAAGCCATCGCGGAGGAGGAGTGGGTTCCTCCTCCTCCTCTATTTATGTTAAAAACTCATTACAGTCATGCCATATCGCAGATTACCGCATTAATGGACTAGAAGTGCTCACTGTTTCTATCTTACTGCCATTGTACGGTGCTGTGTATTTCACTGTTTTACATAACCTACCTCAGAATGCAATTGACGAGAACTTCCTCACAGAATTGCTCCCCAACGATAAAAATATGATACTGGCGGGCGATTTAAATTCCAAAAACACTGAATGGGGTGCAGAAGAACGAACTGTAACGGAGAAACTCTCTTGGAGTTCATTAATAATCATCCGATCTACTTCTATGCTCCCTCAGAGTATACCAATGCACCCGAAAATCCGAGGAAAGGAGACATTCTTGATATTCTCCTTACCACTACCTCAATACCTATGTACCTTGATGTTAAGGTCGAGTTAACTTCCGACCATCTACCAGTTTTGCTACGCTTAGTACTAATCAATGCTTGGATGAAAAGTACAATTTTCGTACAGACTGGAATGTTTATAATGATTACTTGATAAATAGCGGCCTGATCTTTTCATGTCTCAAAAATACAATGGATATTGATGCCTTGACTAATACGATCCTAAGTGCTTACAATTCTGCTACGAGAAAAATTCCCGCTGATCAGCATCCGGATTTATTACCGCGCACTATACGTGATAAGATTAAAAATAGGAACAGACTGCGCAAAAGATATCACATCTCCTAGGACCCTCGTGTTAAAAAGGAGCTTAATACGTTAAATCGAGAAATCAAAAAGGATATTCAGATTCACCGCGTAGACGCGTGGAATGAGAAAATGCTTAATTTTAATGAGCCGGATAATGCTTTTTGGACTTTTGCCAGAAACCTACGACGCAAGCCACACTGCAACAAACCCATCTATAATAGAAATTGCATAGAACTTACTAACGAGGATAAGGCTTCTCTTATGGCTAAACAGTTTATGCCAAATTCTGATCCTTGTGATCTTACTTACTGCGTACGATGTACGCTATTTTATCAAAGACTGGATCAGCGGCCCCGGGGCGCACAACTGCACGAATTTCATCTCACCCAAGGAAATTAAAGAAATCATTAAGCGGCGGAAAAATAGAAAAGTCCCCGGATATGATTCGATCACGAACGTTGCTATTAAGTACTTGCCTTTGAATATCATCTCTAAATATGCAAGTATTCTGAATGCCCGTTTAATGCATAATTATTTCCCTAACAAGTGGAAAATCGCCAGTTATTCTGCTGAATAAGCCTGGAAAAGATGCTACTCGTCCGCACGGATACCGTCCCATCAGCTTATTCCCAGGACTTGGGAAATATTTGAGAGCGTAATTCTCAAACGTCTTGAACCCTTCATGTCTAGACTCCCACCCGAACAATTCGGGTTCAGAAAAGGCCTCTCGACTACGAAACAACTTGTTCGGCTTATGGAATTCACAGGTGACGCCCTGCACAGGAATCAAAGTGTTGCCTTACTCATGCTGGACGTGGCGAAGGCCTTCGACCGCGTCTGGCATGAGGGGGTCATTTTTAAGCTCATATCTGCTGATTTGGCCTCCTGTTTTTACCGTCATGTGCCCATACGGCTAATTCTATCATCGTACTTTTAATCTATTCCTTTATTAAGGACAGAAAATTCTATGTCAGTATTGGTAGTGACAAATCTGAATGTCAACGCTTAAATGCCGGCGTGGCTCAGGGGTCAATTTTGGGACCTATCCTTTATTTGTTTTACGTCGCAGATTTCCCAAAGTATAACATGGACAACAACACTTTCTTAGGATGCTACGCAGGCGATACTGCGTTAGCTACGACTTCCCTCAGAGCTGAAATAGCGGTTTCTAAATTACAGAGCATCACCCCGCAGTGGAACATTGGTGCACAAAATGGCGTATTGCTATCAATGCGCAGAAATCGCAGGTGCTCATTATTCGTAAGAAGACTCGTAGAACCCCTTTAAATGTGACTTTAAAACTTTTCGACATAAGTGTGCCTATTGTAAATAAGGCTGTTTATCTTGGTGTCGTCATGAATAATAAACTCAGTTGGAAAGACCATGTGACTAAAGCCAGAAGTAAGGCCATGGCTGCACTTACTACTATTTCTTCCATTATGGGCAAAAACTCAAAGTTAAACCTCTCTAAAAAGAGACATTTATATACGGCGGTTATCCGTCCCATTTTCTCGTACGCGTCCCTGGTGTGGGCGGCGGCTACACATAGAGATATAAATAAATTGCAAATTCTCCAAAACAAAGCCCTGCGTTTAATGACAAACGCACACTACTTTGTCTCTAATGACACGCTTCACAGAGACCTAAAAATTGAGCCTGTTGACAAATTTCTTCACCGCACCAACAGCAGTTTCTTCGATAGAGCTGTCAATTGCCCGTACCTTGCGCAATTCAACACGTTTGATTATATACCTCTGCAAGAGGAACTACAAAATAAGACGTACGCTGCACATATCACGAGGAATGCAAATTTCCCTACTTAATTATGATAGCGCACGAACACTTTGTACATATGTAAATATTTATTTTAATTGGATTTGCATTTTATTTTGCACCTTATTTGTGTATTTATGTACCCTGTAAATAATTTTATTTTTATTTTTACTTTCTGTGTATTGTTTTATACATGTATATGTCACGAACAGACACTTGTCAGATTGCGCGACACCAGGCTCTCCTTGGTATTTCTCCCCTTGTGACGCATGGTCACCTCCTCTCTCACCTACCTCCGATGCCTCCTTGGCCCGTCCTGTTTTTACCGTCATGTGCCCATACGGCTAATTCTATCATCGAGCAGAACACGTCACGCTCCGCGCGATATCTCTGCGATACCGGTATGACTGACTGACTGACAACGCCGCTAACGCAAGTCGCGAATAACGCAGCACAACTTGGCCTAGACTAGGTAGATACATTCTAAAAACTAACTTCCGAAACTCTTGCTTAAATAGCACTTCATTTTACCTTAATCTGAATAAAATCTCGGTAACTCATTTACATTCTGGCACAAAAAGCGTGGGTGAAAAGACAGTGATAGGAAAAGCTTTTCAACTTAAAATGAAAACTACTATTAGTTAAAAATATATTATATATATATATATAAACCTCTAAAATATATTATTGCAATTTTTAATTTCTGAACAAATTAATACATTTTTAAAAAAGGCTTTAATTGTCGAAATTTTGCTGAAAAGTAAAAATTCTAGTTAGGTTTCAATACCAAAACTAAATTGGGAAACACTTCGTTAAAAAGATATATATTAAGTTTTTGTTTCAATTAACTTTATTACAGAAGTATTTGATATTTACGATTTCAAGAAAACTGTTTTTATTAATACTATATTGGGGATATTACTGCAAACAATTTTTTTATTATTAAACCTCACTCAAAAGCTTGGACAGATCCAAACTGTTCTCTACTAAACATCGTAACTTCTTAACTAGTTTATATTTTGCTGAAATCGCAAGACTCATATCTCCATCTCAATCTTTGCATTTGGGATGAATTTTGAGCTTATCGTTTATTATACAATAAAGTGGCTTGCAATCTATCCTCCAAGTGAAAGCCGCAGAATATAAGGTACTACTCCCCTCCAGGTTCTATTCTCAGTGAGAGAAGTTTCGAGAACGAACCAACCTATGTGTAACCTATACTTCTGGGAAATATTTGATTGGTATTAGTCCGACCTACAAAAGACTGACTGACTTGACTGTTCTGTATTGCCGAAATACCGCATAGAGTGCAGTGTGTCCGGCTCTATAAAATAATGCCACAAGGGCGCATCACGTGATACAGTCCGTTACTACACCCGGACTGTATCACGTGATGCGCCGGAAGGGAACTAGGCAGGTAGGAAAGAAAGGGGACCGATACATTGCTCGGTCAGAATTAATCCGATCATGGACAGCAAGGCGTGTGAAGTAATATAATAAAAATTTTGAAATCACAAGGGAAAAGAAACATGATGCAGAAAACAATTAATTTAGGTATACAAACAGATATCTAAAACGCTAAATAAACATATGTACGAGCTATATACAAATATACAATGATAAGATATCGCACTATGTGTTAAGTCGGAAAAATGGAGTCTTTAACGAGGTGGGCCGCTTGTCGCAGTCTTCCTTCAGAATGACATAATCGAAAGTATTAAATTTCTGCAGGTGAGTGCAGTTGAATGCCTTCGTAAGTAAATTTCTATTTACTTTCTGTAAGTGTGCCTCAATCGGGTCGACTTTCAAGTCTCTATGCAATGTATCATTTCTAACAAAAGAGTGGTCATTTGTAATTATACGGAGTACCGTGTTTTGAATCACTTGGAGCCTGTGCAGATCTTTCTTCTTCGCAGTGCTCCAAGCCGGGGAAGCATAGGAAATAATTGGCCTGACACTCATTATGTAAATGAGATGTAAAAAAATTAACTAATATTTAATTTTTAAATAAAGTGAATCTTTTAATTAGTCATAGTTAATCTTTTAACTATTTGCATTTTATACATCAATATACAAACAAATTACAAATAAAGACAATATGATTATTAATTAAAAGTTAGTATCATAAGTAAAAGACAGGCATGAGTTGGTACTAGGAAGAGGAATATGTATTACATTTTTGTTTACTACCTGCTTAAGAAATTAAAAAAAATCATTTATAAAAATTTCTTTGCAAACATGATATAGCAGAATTCTTCATTTTATATATATCTTTTCAGGGTGATGGCATGAAAGTGCAAGTAAAAGGACAGCAAACTATCATTTCTTGCATCACAGGAAAAGGTAAAACTATTAGTCACAAACTGCTTTTTGGATTTAGAATTAAAATATGCAACTTTCAAAGAATTCTTTTTTTAAAAAATATTAATGATTTTGTTAAGATACAGAAGCAAAAAAAAAAAAAATTATCTATTTCTTTATCTTCCCTTTTCAATTTAAATTATTTTCATTTAAAATAATTAAAAAAATTTTTACATATCAGTACCACATTTTTTAAATTATAAGCATATCTTAGTTTGTATAGTATATAAATAAACATTTATTGTAGCAAATAACATTATTTTCAGGAAAGCGTGCTCGTCGCTCTGCTCCATGCGAATGTCGCTGTGCCTGCCGCTGAAGAATTACAACCACAAAGTATTTTAAAATATCCAGATACTTTACTGTATTTCCTTAATATTTTAAATATGAAAACAATTCAGCAAAGATATTTTGAAATGTTAAATAAAGCAAGACATAATAAACTTGTCATGTTATCAATACAGCAATCAATTTAAATACTTCAAATGTAAAGAAGCTACTAAAACATCCATACTCCAGTTATAAATTATAAATTTGATATTTTTACTGATTTGAAATATGACAGCCATGATACGATGTTTTTATCTTTTGTGAATGTCTTAAATACATATGCAAATAACTATGTATCAATGAAAATAAATAATGTTATTGGCCTTTGCAAAGACATTGTTAATGACTAAAAACAAATTCATAGTTAAGTGAAGTATATTTTAGAGCATATCAATGCATCTTTAACATCGTATCAAATGTTTTCTAGCAACATAGAATAAAATGCACATTTGTCAATACTATCATGTTATAGGTTAGAAAGTTATATTTTATGCATTCATAACAAATAAAACTCAAGGCATTTTTTAATTCCACATTAAAAAGGAAAAAGAAAGTTTTGTTTCATAAAATTTATTACTTAATTAAATTAGGGAATTATTGTTTTTCCTATTTTCAAGATTATTTTTTTGCTATTTGTAAATATCAGTTACACAGCTTTATTACTTATTTTGAGTATTTGTATATATGCATATATATATATACATAATTATTAATCTTCTGTGTACACAAAAATGTCATATCATTTTAAAATTTTTATTCCTTTTACAGCAAATTCAGAATATGTTCCTGCTATGTCTATACTTTTTCCATTTTTGTTTTAATTTTATACTGAACACTTTTCTTTTAGCTTTAACCCTTTGGGTACATTTGATGAGTGAAACTCGTCATCTGCTTACTTGGGCGAAGTTATGGTGGACGTGTCTGACTCGTCAACCGTAATCAGTGTTGTAACTAAAATGCTGTTTCAAAAATATATTTATATCACCAATATAAGTATATTCTAAATAAATTGTATTACCTTTACATATTAATCCATATAGCGACAAATTAAATCCGTCCCATGGGCAAAAATCTTCAAATAATTCAGTACTCAAAGGGTTACTCTAGCTTCCACAGATCAATGCACATTGTGAAGAAACACATTTTAGGATTCTTTTGCTTTTTCTTAGTAGAAAGATTCACGCTTCAAATATTAAAAAACAAAACAAATGAACAAAAATTGATAATTCTCGGCATTATTAAATTTTGTTTGTTTATTGTTTTGTTTTCACTATTAATCTACTTCTTTTCAGATCTGGTTTACAAGTTTATGCTTCATGTTTTTTGTTTTGTGCCTTCATGTTAAATAACTTGACACTTTTATTAGATATATAGTCTATTATATTGTTTTATACATCAGTTAATTTCACAACATTTTGCATTACATTAATATTATTTAATTAAATCATCTTCAATTTTTTAATCTCTCTCTCCATGTATATGTTACGGCCAAAGCCCGAAGTTGGCCGGCCAAATCGCAAAACAGCCAATATCGCCTCACAATGACCGTCCAATGTCTGATCTTTTCTTGATTTCGGAGTTTGGCCAGCCAGTTCGCGAAATGGCATGGAGCGATTGGCCTTTGCAAAGTCAGAAGAAAAAGGTCATTAGCAAATTTTGGGTGTTAGTATACCGTAATGCTAATGATAATCACGTTCTAGCTGCCACAGAGGAGTTTTCCGATGAATCCGCCTCTCTCTAGGAGCCTGGGATCGTCCTTCGGAACAAAGGCCAAAGAGGTACGGTGGCCCTAGGTGTGCTGTAGTCTGAAGGGAGAAGTTTTAGTGAGTAAGGATCTCACAGTACCAGAAACCTCCTGGTCTCTTATGAAAATTTCCTCTCCCTTGGAGAAAACAAACAAACAAACAAAAAGATAATCACATTATCTACTGAATTAGTTTATTACAGAAAATTATCCTTATCATCACTTGTTGCAACAAGATGAACTTTTATGACATTTCGAAATGCACAACAGTTTGTTATTTTTACATCTGCAGTGATTTGTTGAGCACTTGCTATGCAACTGCATCGAGTGTAGCCTTGGCCGCCGGTCAGAGATTGTGAAGAGGCAACGGTTTGTAATGATTTTTCCTCTGTGCCCATGGATGCCAATGTAAGTAGTTTCTCTTGCAAAATGGAAAACTCACTTCTGGAGTGCAGTTGTTTGAGAACACCATGTTCTGTTCAATCAACACTTTAAGCACCTATTCAATTGACATTTTAAATACCAAAATGTTTTTCAGGTGTAAACAAAGGTTTTCACTATATATTGCTTGAAATTAGCTCATTAAACAGTATTATAGTGATTACATTTAAGAAAAAAAAATTAATAGATTTATAGGATGTTCCCAAATGAGAACAATGGTCCTTCCCATGAATATTTGAGGCATATGTTTAAAGATAGAGAAATTATTTTTCCAGCACAAAATATTTAATTACTTATTAATTACTTTAGAAAATACACATTTTGGATTTAGATACCTATTCTTTTTCACAGAAAATTTTCCTGAACAATTAAATTTTACTTGTTAATTAAAAAAAATTACACAACATAAGACACTATTATAGCGGAAAATATTGTTTTGCATAATTTGTGAATAAACAAAGTAAGATAAGCACTCCAATTTTATTTAAAAAAATCATTTGATGTGTTAAAATATTAGCAAAGTTCAATTAATAAATTTAAAATTTCGGTAATTTTTTAAACATGACGTTCCCATTTGGGAACAGTTGATTCTTAAAGCGTTAAGAAGTATCTGAGCACAAGATTCTTTGCTTGCTTTTAGTTGCTTTTATATCAAGAAAATTTTCAAATATTTTATATTTAAATGACTTTTTTTTTTTTTTTAAAGAATTGAAATTTTCAAATGATTGAAGTAAAATTGGATTTATGGACGGTTGAATAGTACTTTGGCACTGAGCACGACTAATGGCACTGAGTACCACTCAGTGCCATTAGAAGTTTGAGTTAGGAGAAATTATTCGAAAAATTGTAGTTGCTGTGCTTGGAAAGCATGTACAAATTCTTGAAACTGAGTTTGATCCATAGTATAACAAAAAACAAATGAATATTGAAAGGGCTTACCTATCCGGGGAAAGCACATTAACCCGCAATCGAAACTATTCAGTTGGCAGGCCCGTAAACAATAATGCATTGCCAGATTCGTTATTCGATACATACACTAAAAATATAGCACATCGAACATTGGCCAGGGAGTCCAGACACTTTGGGAAGTGGCCGGCATATACGCTATTCATTTCCAGTACATCGGACATTGGACACATGCCCCGGCCAATGTGCGAAATGGCTGAACTTCGGGCTTTGACCGTAAACATATATATTACATGTACGTGTTGAAAACTGATTTATATTAATATCACAAAATTAATTAATTTTAAACATACAAAATAAATGTATGTGTAAAGTTAAAAACAAAAACAACTTATGTAAAAAGAAAGTTAAATCTTAATTGAGTTGATTTGTATATTAATAACTTCTGCCTGCCTTAAGTCATTGAAATGTTAAGAATTTAACTAGCAATGCTATCCAAATAATATTTGCATAATAAGTTTATTCATGCAAATGTGATACAATATTTCCACCATAAAGCAACTCCTCTTGATGACATTAGTAGTCTGCTTAAATTTATAAATATACAAATCCACTAAACAGTAAGGGAAATATTTAATAGAGAGAAAAAAATGAATTTAAGTAAAAATACGCATAGCAATATTATTCCTCCTTGGATGTGTACCAGAAATTTCGCATGCTTTAAATCAGGGATTCCTTAAATTTTTCAGTTTGTGGCACACTCCTTCATCATTGGAAATAATGTGTAATGTCCGTAAACCAGAAGTAACTCTGCCTGTATTAACGAAACTTCAAACATTCGGAAACAGCCCAAATACCATAAAGCATAGTGTAGTTCACAAAGTTTATGGAAGTGTATATAAACTATTGGAATGCCCCAATAAAGATGCTAATCATCCCAAATTCTAGCAAACGATTTATATACCAATGAGTATTTGTCTGTACTTATAATTCAACAGTGAAGAACAATACAGTGAAAATAAAACAGGTGACTTACCCAGATAGAATGTCAGTGGATGGAATTTTCCCAAAGCAGGTTATCATCTGGTATTATGCATAGGTATCACGATTTTATTTACTATAGTATGCAAATTAATTGAAAAAAGCGATCTTTTCACAGAATTTTGCAAGATCCTCAAAGCAGTTTTATTTGCCTTCATATCATCTGGATGCCTGCTTTCGACTACTTAGAACAACAATAAGTTAGATTTATCGCACTATTTTAAAATTTATCTCTGTGAGAAGAGGAAGTTACTTTTGCATACCTTTTAAAATATATTTTGTAGTCATTCATTTTAATATATTAAAAATGGGTATATCACCTAGAAAGAGAGCAAAGATTATTGCACTTAACAGTTGTTTGTAAGAAATATTGCTTCCATGGTTAGTGATGGAAAATTAAGCATTTCTCGAATTCTGAAAAAAAAAAAAAAAAAAAAAAAAAAAAAAAAAAAAAAAAAAAGAAAAAAAACACTAAAAAAAAAAAAAAAAAAAAAAAAAAAAAAAAAAAAAAAAAAAAAAAAAAAAAAAAAAAAAAAAAAAAAAAAAGACACTGGATCATTTTGTCCAAAAAGGGAGGGCAAAATAAGACTCCAAAATCTGACCCTTTGTTCCTCTAAAATAGCATTATTAACAGAACAAATACTAGCAAAAGATCTTAAAAAAGATCTATTCTGTAATGGTATTGATATTCCTGCATCAAATGTTTGACAGAGATTTCTCACTGTGGGACAGAAGGCGAGAAAGATAATTACAAAAACAACTTTGGGCACATCAAATAGAGCAAAAACGGTTATTGTAGGCCAAAAAATACAAATCTTGGATCATAAATGACTTGAAAAAAGTTCATTTTCAGGGATAAGACTCATTTGGTTACAAACCCAATGTTATTAGATAAAGCAAGGGTGAATCAATAAGGCCTCAATATATCCAACAAACTGCAAAATACCCATAAAAACAAATGTTTTGGAATTCTTTCACTGCAGATGGCACTGGAAATCTAGTTCCTATTAAAAGAATGATGCATTTATTGAAGTACATAGAAATTTGAAAACAAAGGATTGTGCCATTATTGAAAACTTTTGCAAGGATATTTCAACACAACTTGGCTCCATGCCACAATTTGAAATCTATCACAAGGTTTATGTTGGAAAATAAAGTTATTGCGCTTGACTGGAATTGAATCACCAGACTTAAATCTAATCAAAAACTTATAGTG